GGATGATGAGAATGCTCCAGTAGCTACTGCTGCTTCTTCCACTGTATGCTTTTATTGATGTATTTACAAATGTAAAATCTAATTTCGTCCGGACTATGTAACGTGTAAAATGCACACGTATTAACTACACATACTCTGTCCCCAGCAGAGCAATAAATGTAGCTTTGACACGTTAACTATGTTTAATAACGAAGAAATGTTAATATCAGTTGTTATTAGACTAAAAGAATTTTCTTTGGATTATTTTTGTAAGGATTCTAAGATTAATCTGTTCAGTTTTTGTCAGGTACTGTTTGTTTAATTTTAAATAAAATAATTTCTGACTATATAATATACAATGAACACACGATTCATGTATCTACGATATGCTCACAAAAAGAATCCGAATTTGTTTTTGGGCGCCCAATTAATTTGTGCACGTGGCACCATTTAAAGATTTACAGACATTATCTCTGCGTACATATGCGATCAAGTATTACAGTCCTCAAAGTATAAGAGTTCAAAGTATTAATTACTACATTTTAATTATAATTAAATATAGTTATTATGGTCGTGGCCCGTGGGCTCTTGACTTTCTATGTTCATTGGCTATGGTGTCTCTAGTTTTCTATTCAAAGATTCCGGTTATGTTAATGGGAACTTGATTCTCGTCTCGGTTTTACATTTTTTTTATTATTTTAGGAAACAACTAAGAAACTTCTGCTTATCGTTGGCGTTTTAGTGCGGTGGTGAAAAACTACTACGCATATAAACGATAGTGTCGGTTTAATCTTTACCAATTTTTTTTTCTTTCTTAATAACTAAATATCTAACTCACTATAACATTGTCGCTCATTAAGACAAAAGAAAATCATTGGCCAATCCACTGGATCCAGGAAAAAGTAAATAAATATTAAAATTGTGGGACGCCATAAATGATTGTTTATTGTTTTAATTGTTTTATTATTTTCTTCTTGCAATGTTATGGAACTTTGTGTTTGACTCTTGTGGGATACTTAATTATAATTTAACTGATCCCAAGTTAGATTATAAACGTGATTAGGATTAGGATGGAGATTGATTGGGATTAGGGATTTAGATTCTTAAGAGGGTTAACATCAAATGGGCTGTTTTATATGGGTCCACAAAGAACTGGACACTTGTGTAAAGTGGGCTTGAAGTCCAGAGGGGCCGTTAGATGGCGAAAGCTCTTGCTCTTGTGCAATACTCTTCAATTACGTTTCTCAAGTTTGTAATCTTCTCAGTGTTTGTTTATGTGCATCGACATCATCACTGAGCGTTTAGATTTGTCAAAAAAAAATTACCAACAATGCTTGACTACTCAATGATGAGTAGAAATTTTTATCCAAAATTCTTCGTGATTGAATCACATAACGCCGTACTTATAATTAAAACTGTTTATATTATGAATTACTTTATAAAGGTCATGTCTGCAAAAAAATAAATTAAAGTAAAATCATTTAGTCAATCTATTATAGTAAATATATAGACGGTTCGTAATGTTTTTACCAATTCCATTCATTTGTTTTTATACAATTCAATAACTAAACGACCTTATTTTAATTGTATTTTTTTTTTCAGATGTGATCTTTATAAAGTGATTTGTAATATAAATGGTTTGGATCATGAACATGAAGTTCTAGAATCACCAACAAACAACTTTGAGTAAGAACTCCTACTCATCTTTTGAGTAGCCAAGCATTGTTCAAAAACTATTAGTGTACCGTAGTAGTGACTACTTTTCTACATCGACCAGGAAAACAGTCCTATATTTCACCAAAACGATTTGACGAAGTAGATCACATTTTAGAGACAATTTTATATGGAAAGGGTTTAGAAGTATGAGCCATTATTTTGTAGACTAGAGTTTAGATTTCAGGACTAAAGTGAATTATTGATGTGACACCCCGTCCCGAAACTATCGAAACGTACATGTGATTTGACCGTTTTACCCCTAGTTTGTCTTGTTATGTTATTTGGTTATTTTGTGTGTGTGTGGCATGTGTTGGACCACACCCACACCTGCACACACACTGTCTCACTCTCCCTCTTCCTCTGTCACTTTCCCTGTCTCTCTCTCTCTCCCCCGAGTCCTTATTCTTCTTCTTCCTCTTCCTTAAACTGGTACGGACACACACACACCTACCATATTTCACACAGATCGAGGAAACCAAGGGTGTAGTTGTGATCGTGAGGTCGAGGGGAGCACTGACGTACCATTTTCAGGTAGGGAAACCACCATTTTCACGTCGATTCGAGGTTTTCCGATTTGAGCACTATTCATGCAAACTTATTCTAGCTTGTTTTTGGACTTTTGAAGCTTGTAGTTGTGTTTGTGAGGTTCCCAGGAGCTTGGGAGTGCTTCGTTGGAAAAATTTGGACGTCGGGAAAGCTTGGTTCTAGGTTGGCCGAGTTTTGGAGCTTTGGACAGGTGAATTCTCGTAGATTTTAGCCTTTAAAACTTGTAGGATCGTGTTCTACTAGTCCTAAGGGTTAAAATGGTGCAAAAATCTTGAAAAACGGTTGAAAAACGAGCGAGAAAACCTAAGTTGCAGGTTTTCCGGCGACGGCGCCGGCGAGGGGGACTGGCCGGAGAAGAAAGGGGAATATTCTGTTGAGTTTAACGGAATATTCCTAACGGACGTTGACGGCGTCAGTTTAGGTTTAACGGAATATTCCGTCAGTTCAACAGAATATTCCTGACGGTGTCACTTGACGCCGTCAGTGTGCCTGGCACGTGGCCGCGCGTGGGGGCGCGTGGGTCCGTGCCTGTTTTGGCGCGTGAGGGCGCGTGGAAGGTCCAAAAATTATTTTAAAATTATGGGTGTGATCGTGAGGTTGTGTAGATCACGTTGGTATATTCATTTGTCCATTTTGAGCAATGTATGAGAAGTTATTTTGAACGGACGGTTATGTGCTTTAAAGTTAACGTTTTTATAGTTAATTCGCATATAGGTGACACGTATCCCGAGGAAGAGCGTGCACACTCGAGGCAGGGGGGCTACGACCCTTCCACATACCAGTGAGTGGGCTTTTGTTTTCCGTATATACCTATATACATATTAATTCCCAGAAATTAGTATAAATGCTTCGTTTTATGCCATTCTTTTTATATGATTGACGGTTATGCATGATTAGTGGCATATACGTTTAATTATATATTCGATTATGCATATGTCATATATATATATATATATATGTTGGTGCTGTGGAGGCATAGGTAAGTGCCAGGTAAGCGTTATTTAACGATTGCATTAAATAGTGGTTAGAGATGCTTAGAGAGCTCATAACCTGCACCCCCGGTGTTAGTGCTCTCGTCCAGAGTAGGGCACAGTCCTTCACGTGTTGTTCACCTCCCGCACCATACGCTCAGCTTGGATTCAAGTTAGGTGCACAGTCTTGTCGTACAGACCACTATAGGTGGTTCCGACTCGTAGGTGACCCGCGATTATTCGCACAGCCTTCACGTGATCGTAGCACTAGAGCGTTCATATGTATTACACCCAGGCCTGTCGTACAGACCACTATAGGTGGTTCCGACTCGTGGGCAGGTTTAGTGATTTAGTGGAGATTTGAGCTCTAGATTCAGCCGTACAGGTCACTTAGGGACTCCGGCTGCCATTTTATTGTGCTATTGATGTGATTTATACCTGAGCACATGCATGATATTATGAGGTTTGTGATGGCATACCTGTGAGCATGATTGGCATACCTTTGAGCATGACTTGGCATATCTACGTATATGTGTTTATTTTCTGGGAAGTATACAGGTTTTACGGCGAGGGGTTAGAATGTATTTTATGAAATGATTTTCAAAGATTTGGTTTTTGCCCACTCACGCTTTTGTTTTGCGCCCCTCCAGGTTCTAGTAGCTTAGCGGGTTCGGTGATTTTCCCAGAGGACATCCCGGCATTCTGACAGACACTCACCTACGTAGGGTCACCTTCGGGTGCACTATTGTTGTATCGTTTCTTTTGGACTGCTGTAGGCTTAAAGCTCTGAATTTAGCGTCTTACTTTCGCTAGCACATACTTTATCACATTATATTTGCTAGTTTTAAATTATTCGTACTTTTATATTACTGTTTTTAGCTTCCGCACTGTGCACGTGGCTACGTCACTTCCACGTGGCGGCAAGCATGCCCTGATCTCGGTTGGGGTGTGTCAATTGAAGCGTTTGTTTTTTTCATAATAATATTCTGAACTACTCTGTATTAGGAAAGAAATTTCAACTCAAGCAAAAAGAGAAACTAACACAATTCCTGAACCAATTAGCTCAACTTGCGTATGTAATTAAAAGCATATTATTTGAAACGAGTCGCAATCTAACACGTTGGCACAAGGGGTGGTTTGGTGTCATATTCCGAGATCATTGTTAGCATTTGCCAATATTTTACATGCTCCATTTGGACATCAAAGTTAGGTTTGGAAGTAAATGAGAGACAATTTTTTTCCCTTAAAATAAAGGGAGGTGCACACTTTTTTTGGGACACCTTTTAATTGAGGGGAAAAACACATAAAACCAAAGTTATGATGTGACCAAACAGTGTACTAGCCTTGTGACTAGGGGGCATATCACCTCCTCAGCATCCTCATTGCCTCAGGGATTGAGACGTGTATAGCAATAGTTTCGAATATGATGGTAAATATTGGCTTCAGTACAATCTCCGCACTTAATCAAGTTACGAAAAAGGTAAAAACGCTTTCAGATAATTAAAAATAGAAGTGTTTACAAGTTTAAAAGCACTAAAAAATTTGGTGAAATTTTTTAAATTTTCAGGAAACATTGAGAAGTTCTGTAAAGTTTCTATTGCGTTCTACTTCAACTAAAAGTGCTTTTGAGCAAAAATAAGCAGAGAAATAGCGCACAGCCTAAATCAGAACAACCACAGCCCATTGGGCTTACAAGCTCTCGGCCGAGACCTACCAGCAAGACTCCAGAACAACTTGAGTTAACTGAAGGAGAAGAATTCTAGTTGTAGCTAAGATAGAAGGAAAAGCTCAATTTTAAAGGCCATCAGCAAACACATATAACATCCACAACATTTTTCCTAAAAGCACTTCTAATAAAAGCTGAATTTTCCTAGCTTCTTCAAGTTCTATTCTAGCAAGGTGGTAATCACACTATCAAGTACATAACGAATCAACGAGACAAGAGCCACAAGTTCATTTCACTTGCTGCTAGCTTGAATGTGTCCTCCACTGACAATGCCTCCGGAAAATTATCACAAGCTCCGCCTGCCTGACCAGCCCAGAACGAAAATAATGCGCAATTAGACAGCTGATTAACTAATGATTAATTGATCATTTGGCATGCTAATGGAATTAGCATGCAAGCTAAGTGCTCATATATGGATTCTTAGTCTACTTACATGAGCATGGATCATGTACATGCAACGACATCGATCCGAGGAGATGTGAGCAGATACTACATCCAGCTTATGCTTCTCCAGTATGTAAAACAAAGTAGTCAACATCCCTAGCTTTGGTGGTGAACAAACGCTGATCTGAGCATCGTTACCGGACATGTTCATGACAACGTTTGGGGAAAACCACGTCTGGAAGGAAGCAGGCAGTGGTGAAAGAGCAGCTGGCAATGCCAGGTTGATTGATGTTTGTGGACCCTGATGAAAATGATCAGCCAAAAACGCTTCCCTTGTATCACAAGTTAACTCTCTATATGATGCTGGCAATGCAGAAAATTTGTCAAGCCTTTGTGTTTGTGTTGTTTGGAGAGTATGTTCAAGAGACTTGATGTATCTTATTGACTCATCAACAATGGTAGACTTATCTGCCTGCAAAATCATCGAAAAATATCATATACTAGCTTTGATCTTCTTTTTCTTCTTAATTCTGCAGTTCCCATTCCGGGATTTACTGCTCGAATGATTACTGAATCTTAATCAATAGTACTCCTTAACCTCTCTTAGAAACTAATTTAGAACAGAACAGAGTACATTTTGAGCTAAATCAATAAATAGATTACGTTCAAATTAGTAACCCAAGTATAACATAAATATGGAGACCCTAAATTTAGACTTGCATTACAATTTCGTTGCATTCGTAACTAGCATGTGATATTCATAATCAACTGATCTAACTCACGCCAGCAAACAAAAGTATTATAGTTCATCTAATAAAAGAACGCACCTTAGCTACAAAGAGTAAGTTGGGTTTAGTGCTTGAAAGTCTCATAAATTAAGCTTTGAAATGTTTCATGAATCTAATTAGTTAAACATATTGGAGTTGAATATGACTATTATTACCTTAGCCGGAAGATGAGGAAGCAAAGCATGAAGGCTAGAGAACATATTCCTCATCTTCTTCCTTCTTTCCCTCTCAGTCCAAGTGTGTACACCATGATCCGATTCACCACCGGCACGGCCGCCAGGTTCACCACCAGCCTTGTCACTGCTTTCTTTGATCTCCACCGCCTCTTTCTTCTCCACTGTATTTGTAGGAGTGGGGAAACTAGAGCTCACATTTTCCAGCTTCAACAATTCATCACCACCACCACTGCAAGTTCTTGAATTGGGAAAAGCCCAGATAGATTTTTTCTCTAAGCAAGACATGGGTAAGTTATTTTGTCCGAATTAAATCTTTATATATATATATATATATAGAGAGAGAGAGAGAGAGAGAGAGAGAGAGATTTGGTTAAGAAGAGCTTCAGTGGGAAGTTTTCACAAACAGGAGGATGGCGACGAAAGGTGGCGGGCTTTTGAGGACGTTACTTGGATGGGCTCCATCTCTCTACTTACACAACAAAATACAATCATGAGACGAATGCCGTTATATGCCGTTTTTCGAAAACGATTTCTTAAGCCTCGGAGCCCTCCCATATTGCCTTTGCTCTTTCACCCTCATTCGCGCCTTCTTTTTACCGAATCACACCATCCCTCACTCTTAAATATTTAACTTAGCGCAGAAGCAGTACGTAAATCTTGGTCATTAGGCAGTGGCGGATCAAGCATCATACATTGGATGGTCATAATCAAGGTATACTGTGTATTAGGCGGGTGGCGGGTTGGAGCATTGTTTTTATGTGTCAAGACATGTAGAAATTTTCAGGTCGACGGGCCGAAGGCCCACTCCAACAACACCGATACTGTCCCCACTTAACCACCTGCACAATCCTCAGGTGTGGGGTTTTATCACAAAAGGCCTCGATGTTAGTTAGAGAGGGGTATTTCTATTTAAAGCACTCTTCTCTTCTCCCTCTGTCTGATGTGGAACTGGGGGTTCCAACACTCCCCCGCACATAAGACCCCACTTATGGGTCACACGTGAATTTCCACACATCGGCAACCACGTGGAGCCATGTCGGGACTCACCCAATCACGTGGGGCCAATGGGGACCCACCCAAACACGTGGCATCTTTGGCCTACGTGGACAATCACGCGGGGCCAACGGAGACCCACCCAATCACGTGGCAGTACGGGCCCGCCTCCTGGCTCTGATACCATGTAGAAATTTTCAGGTCGACGGGCCGAGGGCCCACTCCAACAACATCGATACTGTCCCCACTTAACCACCTGCACAATCCTTAGGTGTGGGGTTTTATCACAAAAGGCCTCGATGTTAGTTAGAGAGGGGTATTTCTATTTAAAGCACTCTTCTCTTCTCCCTTTGTCCTATGTGGGACTGGGGGTTCCAACAAGACAGGGCTTAGGCAGAGGTTATGCGGATTTAAGTAAATTTATTATATATCATATAAATAAGTGTTTATTTCCAATTAAAAAACTACATTTGTATTGAGAATTTAAAAATACTATTTTAATTAGGTTTATTATTTAACATATAACATAAAAAAATTATCATAATTTTTGCTTTAGTATTTTAGTGAATTTGATGGTATGAGATGAAAGTTCAAGTGATTACGAGTTTGTAATACTTTACAAAATAGTTTTCATGATGTCGTATAGATTTATAGTGAATTTTAAAAGAAGTAATGGTGTCAAACATATGGTATAAAAAGTGTGCGTTGAGTAATACACCATCCCTTTCTTAATTAAAATGATAGGTGGCACAACTTGATTTGAAAACGATTAAAAAAAGAAAACAAAAAATGGGGAGTTAGTCACCTCGGAAATGAAGAGAGAAAGTCCTTCTTCTTCATTGGAACCAAGGTCCAAGAACATCAAAGTCATGCTAGTGTTTCTTCTTGATTCAAAACTTATGTTGCACAACATCTGCATAGCTATAGTGGTCTTCTCTCTTCCACCACATGCCTAGACCGTTGCATTGTCCTCAGAGGTTCTCACAAGCGCTTCCTCGGACTTCTGGGCGGTCCTGAGACCACCGAAGTCCATACACGCATCCGCCTCTGCCACTAGGTGACCAAGAAAACGAGACTCTTATTAACGCACATAAGTAAGCGTACGTAGCTACATTAGTTAATTCAGACGTGCTCTCTCTTATGCACTCAAGTTCGAAATCTCCCTCAAAGAAAGTACTTATTTAGAGAAAAAGTGTTCTTCAAACCTTTACCTTGTTTTTAAAAATTTTATGCATAGTTCTTTGATATATCGAAAATTTATTGATGATATGTAGGTAGGATTTGTCTGCAACAATCATATCAACATGTTCTTGATAAAATATAGACAACAAATGCTTGTTCGATAACTAATAAGCTCCAATTATGAATTTGGTTTTTCTTTTCATGTAACGATTTGAACTTAGATCATGTAAGTCACCTTCTAAACGTGTGTTTATCTTAACATGGTCGCTTTTGTTTGGCCCCAAAATAACAAAGTGTATCATGGCATGTTGGTAAATTGAATGAAGTTGGAGGGTGAATTGATTGTGAAATGCATTTAACGGCCGTTATAATATGTGTATCAAAAGAAAAGAAACTTCTGAAACCGAAACGGGGGCAAAGGAAACGTTCATCTCTCTTGTCCTCGTTTCAATAGCATTCCTGTTAATACTTCAAAGTCACTGTATATAATTGAGATTTGCTTTGGCGATAATTTTACTATGCTCCGGTGTATAGCATACACAAAATGAATGAAGTGCTGATGTGCGGCCAAAGATCTCAGTGCATACTAGAAACGTTTATTTTGATCATGAACTAAAGCAGTTGAGCCATCAATCTAAAGCTAGAAAAAAAAAACCATGGCTTTATAAATGGAGAATACCAAGACTGGTACCAAGTATTTTTATACAAGTTAAGAAGCATCAACAGCAGAAATACGACAATCGAGTCAACCTGTTACACTTAGCAAAATACTAACAATTTATAACCTAATCAAAGTATATGAACGAAGATGATGATAGTCTCTTGCTTGGTTGAAGAAAAAGAACTGTATGAAAACAGGCTGCAATTTCATACATCAACGTCGGATGAAGAGTTTTTCCCTGTCCTAATGGTATCTATTTTTGATTGTGGTTCACCGTCACTGAAGAGTTCCTTCACAGAGCAAGGAAATGATCTGCATTAGTTCTCGAAATTCTGATAAGTTACTTCTGCAATTCATGCTAGAGTTACCTTAGAGGATGAGGGGACACTGAAGAGTCTGTAGTGAGCTTGAACCGATGTTTCAAAACCAAATGTGGGTTCTGAAGTCGGGACATTTGCAACTGAGGGTATGACCATTGGTGGATTTGAGATCATGTATCCGGCGGATAAATTGAAAGCAGATTGCATTGAGTTCTCTCCACTCCCGTAAAAAGGGCTTATTCCCTTGCTGGATTTTGGAAATTTATTACTTCCTTCTTCAAAGCTCAATCCCATATGAGGCAACTGCATAGGCTGCATGACTCCTGGTAAGCACATTGGATGCAAACTCAATCCATTTCTCATCGTTAACATCTGCAAGCATAATCAGAAGCGAAAAGTACATCAGCGTTAACTCATGCAAAAGACACAAGTCACACCACCTACTTTAGCCATGGGGCACGTGATGTCCCTCTTAAAGGCAACAGATAGAACGCCATAAATCATTCAGAGAACACCCAAATACTATTACATTCCAATTAATCAACTTTTCCCTCCTTAGATTTGATGATTTGTGTCGAAAATAAAATGGTGTATCGCCACAGAACATAGGTGTCACTATGTTCAGCTTGCAAGGTTAATGTTAACTGAGTCTGGCGCATGATGACCTTCATTCCTAAACCACATGGTAAGACCGAAAGACAAAGATGTCTAAGCCACTGGAAAAACAGCATACTTAATATTACGCCAGAACATGCATGAAAGACAAGCAGGTCCTACAGCTTTTGAGGCAGCCAAATTTGTTTGTCAGATTTAAGTTCAGTGGCTTCTCCCATGAATCAAAGCAACACTTTTTGTTTGTTAAACGAGTATGCCAGAACAATGCTAAAATAACAATGCATACCATATGACACTTTATATAGGCTATCGATCTTTTTTACTCAAAACGTTATGATTAACACTTTTTGAAGTCTATCATGTTTCCCCCAAAGCAAATGTTGGGCCATTTTCTGTTTGTTAAGAAGTACTGCAGCACAGTTTAGTCGGGCTTGTTCAGTCCGGCATGAATCAGGTTCACATAAGTGCTTCACCAAGAGCAGTGAAGTATTTCATTAATTTCTAAACTATTCAACAAACTCTATAATTCTGATAAGTCATGTTTACTCAGTTATGCTTCAGAGCCCAGTCTTAAAGGTGACGCATCTTATTGCCGGACCAAGCAGCAACAATAGCACTCAATATAATCCATTCTAAATTTTAGACAAACAGACCATCAAGTGCATAGCTGAAGATTAATAATACTCAAGATGGCTAATCTTTGAAGGGATATCAAAAGCAAATGGTCTTAATGTCATCAGAATTATATTCCGAAAACAGTGAAAACCATCTTACCTGTACCTGAAGCTGGAGCTGCTTCAAATACTCGATTGCTTCATCCAGCATCGAAGCCTTATCCGTCTAACAAAAGCACATGATCAAATCTCGCGTGTTATTAAGAAGCTAATCTCGCATAATCCTCGTCTACTCATAAACAAAAAAGAACAAAAGACTAATACGACTATTTGAAAAATAAAGCACACAAAAGGCTGTAGAAACTTTTGGAAAAGAGTACCTTGTTAGAATTCGGAATCAGGTTCAGCAAAGCTTTCATCTTTTCGTTAATCCTACTCCTCCTCCTCTGCCAACCAATCAAATTTACAACCCAGAAATCAAAATCCCAATTTCTACATACTCGAATCGAAAACCTTCACACACAAGGAAGAAAGATCCAACCTTTTCCGACATATTATGGACGTCGGCAGCTCTGCTCCTCTTCGATGAATTCCGCGGAGGCGCTGAGTTCAATTGCACGTCCGGAGCCTCCTCCAGACCCTTCTAATTCCACCAAAACCCACAAAGATTTCAAATTTCAACGCAATTAAGGTTGAACAAACGGAAACAAACAGAATTAACACAACAAAAGTTCTCTTTTTTTCTCTCTCTTTTTAGTGGTTCCTTCAAATTTTCCACCTAATTTTCTCAGCAACCAAACAGAATTCAAAAGAAGAAAATGGGAAGTACCTCACTGTCACAGCTAAAGTCGCCGAGATCATTCTCAGACGAAATCCTCCTCCCATCAGACTCCATACCTTCTTTCACCTCCGCCGTGAAGTAGCCACCGGAATCGGAGAAGTGGAACCCGGACGACGACTCTAACACAGAGTTCGAATTTCCTCCCACTACTCGCTGGTCCGAGCCAGACCGATCCACCAATTGAGCAAACCGCCGATGATCCTCATGCCTGGCCTCCGGAATCAAGACCTCGGACGGCGTCACCGCCTGGAGTGGCAGCGGCACTGACGAATGCAGCAGGTGCATGTAAGTGGGCTTAAAGGGCATGCTAGAATAGGCCGAGGAAGCGGAGGAGCCGTGACCGTGAAGGAGCTCGTTGATAATGTTTGAGATTTCTTCCGAGTCCGGCGCTGATCCGTACAGATCCGCCATAGCTGAATTTCGTACCCTTCAGAACCCAAGAAAAAATCGAACAATTTCACAGAGCTGTCGCTGCTCAGCCGGAGACGGTGAGGTTTTCAGTTTGTTGTTAGCATCGTTCCCAATTCGCCTTCGCTACTCTGCCTCTCTCTCTCTCTCTCTCTCTCTCTCTCTCCCCCTCCCTCCTCTGTTTTTCTCTCTCTTCTTAGTCTGCTGTGCTTCCGTGATTGCCAATTTCCATGAAACTCTTTTAAAAGAAGGTTTAAACCTGTAAAGCTCACAATTTGATTACTCTCCCGCGCTAATTGCCAAATGCTCAGTCACATGTTTACGTCATCATTCGCAGAAATTTCCATTTATTTTTTTATAAATTTGTAGAGTTTCCCATTATTTTATGTATATTGCAGACCGCTGGCCCTTGTTTTCAGTTATTTACCATATCGGGTCATAATTAAGCACAAATTTTTTGAGTTGTTTCACTTTAGTTTTCAAACATTAAAATCTCAATTTAAAAGGATGACAATGAGGCCTAATCACAAAAATTAACATAAGTGAACACACGCATGATTCAAGTTTAGTAATTTGCTGGGTGTGAATTGGCTTGTGTGTTGGGCAATGCCACAGTTAATTTATAAGTTCGAGCATTTTTCAGTACTGATAACCGTTGATGACTGTTTTAATTTCATTAAACCACGAGAAAGTATAATTGTAAAAACAAAAGATGTAAAGATCTCTAAATAGATCAATTCGCTTTTAAGCAGCTAATTAGTTGTTCAAATATGTAGTCCAACTACATGAATAACTCTTCGGCTCGTAACTCGACGTTGTTTCAAGTAGGAAGCAAACAAAACTAAACCTAATTGGTTGGTCTAAAGTGGATGATATACCCCACCTCTAAACGTGGCTACTTCTATAGTTGAAGTCACTAACTTGGGAAAGATTTTTCAGTGTACCTAAAACACAGACACATACATCGTATGTTATTATACAAGTGGAGGAATACTTGAAAAAAAAAAAAAAAAAAAACCTTACCACCACTTGTATAATAACGTACGGCATATCGTCTATATTCCAGGCACTTGGAAAATTTTCAAAAATTTAGGGGCAAAATTTGTAATAAACCCTAGAAAAAGCGCATTGTTCAACGTCGGAAGGTTAAGTCAAACACACCATGCACTCCTCCACCGTCTTATCCAACCAAAAACGTCACCTTTGCCTGTGGAATTTAATAAGGGGACACCAAAAGGTGCAAATCCCGAGGCTCCCACCCTTTTCAGTGGCGTGTTCTTGACTGCTACCTACAACCTCTGCATCACACGATTTCAAATCCCTCTTCTTTTAGAAAAATTCACTAGGGTTTGCCAACGCACGCCCTAAAAAGTGACCTAAGAGAAACTCACAAGGAAAAGGAAGGCAGAAAATTCTAGGGCACAAGAACATTCCCCACGTTTCTTGTTCTGCAATTTAATTGGATCCAAAGGTTCCCAACCACGATCAAACATCAATGTGATTATATCAGCATGTGAAATTGTAAATGATATTAACATCTTGATTCATGAACTTGATTAAAGCTTTGAGATTTTCGGGATCTTGCTTGATTGATGTGAAGTTTCATTATGATTTGCGATGAGTATGACACATTAATCCAACCAAGTGTTAATCTAATTCGTCAATCTAATTCCAAACCTGCTCATCATTACAAAGGGACCGACAAATCCAACAAGTTACAAATGGACCAGCAAAACCAACAAGTTACAAGGGAACCAGCAAACCTAGTTCACGGCTAAACTTCCACTACGCTTTGACTACATTAAGGCATGTTTGGGATTGCTTCTAGTAGGGTTAAAGCACTTTTTGACGAAATAGATCCTCTCTGAATCTCTTCCACTAAGGCCATCGAATCAAGTGATCCAGATCCTTGAAATTTGATTCAATGGCTAAAGTTATTATAACTTTTAAAGAAAGCCCCTTATTTTTAACCGTTAGATCAAATTTCAAAGGCCCGAGTTCATTTGATCCGATGGCCTTGGTGAAAGAGATCCAAATATAATCTCTTTCCCTTTCTGACAACTAATAGCGCTTCTAACCACGTCTAGCAAAAAACCTTAAAATCACTTCTTAGTCGTAAAAGCGCTTTTTGAAGCATTTACTGTGTCACTTCCAAGTACTTTGTCAAGAAGCACTTGGTTTTGTAATGAAACTAGACATGTATATACTAAAAGCACTAATGAGCATAAGTGATTCCTACACAAGTAGTCTCAAACACTTGGATTGTAAATAAAATTTGACACTAATACTGAAAACACTTGTACCAAAACGCACTTACAAGCAGAAGTGATTCCTAATAGTGCAGTCTCTAACAAGCCCTTAGTTGTTTGCACGTAAGACCAAAAGATGAGCCTAATTACCTTTTTAACAAATGGGAGCCTAGTAGTAAAGATTATGATCCAAGACATGTCTGCATTTCATAGATTGAACAAATAAACCTTGAATAATCCTCTGCTGCAGCACCATGGAATTGCAAAGAAAGCCGAAACAGAGAAACAAAAATCCTAGAACCAGTTACGTTTTCTATCAAGCCCTTCGAAAAGGAATTCGAGATCATGAAATCTACAGGTATAACAAAGAATCTGCAGCAGAAACTGGATCAAACCATAATAAAAAACATAGAAGCCTAATCATTCATTGATAAAATGAAAAGTCAGTACCAGTTTTGCCTTTCCAACTTCGAAATGTGATGCCTCCAATAAGAGGCCTTTTAAATAAAATAAAAAATAATTAAAGTAATTTTCCGCTCGGCGCTTGAAGTAGTGCTTTGGACCAACTTCAACTCGACCAACACGGAAAGGTGAAAGCATCGAGGCATTGGGACTCAGTGAGCCCATATGTAGGCAGACTGATTCCATAAGCAACCCTCTTTACCTAATTTGAAGAAAAACTAGCCTGCAAAAACATTTGACGTCGTTGACCTCATGTTGCCAGGGCTGTAGTTTTACAGATGGGGCACAAATTCTTGTGCATCAGCCATTGTTTTATGCACTCGCTGTGGAAATCATGTCCGCATTCAAGCATTCCAAGATCTTCTCCACCATTGTATTCCTCCTGCATATTAACAGTATATATAAATCAAGCCAAGCAAAAACATGAAAATGTAACACAGATTGAGCATTATGCGGTCATTACCTGGCATACACAGCATGGCTCTGTATCTGCCGAAGATCCTACTGCAATATACTTCTTATGTTTCAAGCGCTTTGATATGGTTTCTTCACTTAATCCAGTGTTCACAGTTTCCGATACGCTCTTCCAGAGCCAATAATTCCTACAATAATTAGATTTTTATGTCTTAATAATCTCATTTCTACCAATAGGGGAGCAGGACTGTTATGTATCTTTTGAGGAAGCGGGAGGTTGGGTGAATCAATTACCTCATAAGACATGTTATCAACATCAAGTCGCATATCTCTATGTCGGTCGTGAATGTCAGCCACCCCAAAAAGGACTGACTGATCAAGAATCATAACATCCTGACACAAAGAAGTAGAAGCCAAATGTCAGACCACAATTTAAAAAAAAAATTCTCACATCTCATAACAGCCTTTGGTTATGATATTCTTATTTCTTAAACATGAAAACAGAAACACTGGGTCCCCAAATATATAAGGAAAAGATATATATGCCTTAAACTTCCAAAACCAGAATCCCGTGACGAGAATAAGGCATTTGTGCTTTATCAAAACAGATTCTTTTTCAAAACTGTGAGTATACTGAGGTGCTTCAATATAAGCAAATAAAATTCTAACCTCAAATCGCAAGCTCTCGCCCCTACGCATGAGACCCAGGACATTGCAAATCTGCTAAAGAGAGAAGAAAAACTTCATAAGGTTTAGATGAATATCTCTTTTCCCATAACTAGCAAAATAATATAAACTTAGCAGTATTAGAGTAACAGAAAACTTAAATAACAAGAATTATGATGTGACTAGTTGAAGATGACAAAATCACATAAACAGTTAGAAACATAATGATTTAGAGGACTGAAAAATTTATCTTATTTTTGAACATTCATGATTGACTAAAAGGAAAAAGTGATTGCATATCCCGTATCATCGTGGTCATCATTATATTCAGACATCTGATGGTATCACATCAATAGGTGATTACGCATAAATGTGGGTTCTCCCTGATATTCATCCAAATGCTTTAAATAATGGGATAAAAAAAATATTCTAAAAGAAAACCCTCAGCCAGAGAGAGAGTTCTACAACGCACCTCAGATACCAGCCTGCTACTTCCTTCACCCCCTGCAGCAGCCAAAGTCCGTAATGAATATGGAAGTCCAAGTACACCATCGCCATGTCTCTCCATCCAAGATGCTGACCTTGGGTGAGACCGATGATGACCTTGGTTACCTGTACCAGATGAACTCTCAACCTCTGGTGATGATGCAGGACCCGAATGCAGAGGCAAATAATTAGTGCCCTGACTCCCAGGCTCACTACCAGAAGCAGAAAATAACGATCGGCGAACATATTCAGATAATCTTCGAGGAAATTGCGGATGAGAATTGTGAGGAGGAACCCACGTAGGTGCAGCTGCTGGATTAACACCTGAACTTGTGCCAGTCCGGGATGCTGAAGCAACATTACCAGGAATACTTGCATTTCCACCAGGTAAATTTCTGTTAGATGCACCTGCAGGATGCCGAGTTGAATTTCTCAATTCAATTGCTGGTACGAAAATAGGATGATCCAAAATGTGTCTCGCCATGCTTCTTGAGCTCCCTTCCTCACGTGGTGGAGGCTGTGGAGCATCTCTGTCTCCATAAACCACAGAATTTGATAAGTTGCCAGTTCTTGAGCTAGACCCTCCACTCCATCTCAACGATTGCACATTTTGCGGCAAAGCAGGAACATGGATGACAACTGGCTGGTTCTGTGAACTCATATTATCTAACGCTGGTGCTGGTCTCAGGTCCATATTATGATCAACTGGAAGAAGACTTGGTGAATGATTCGAAGAGGAAATACTAGAATGCCTAGCAGCCCTCCCAATCGAGAACCTATTTGAGTGTATAGAATTTTGCTGATTTGAAGGGTTTATCCTCACACGGAGGTTCCTATGAGTGCTTTCTGAGCTTCTTCCAGCATTTGAATCAGGAAGGCTGTCAGAAGCAAGTGCTCTCCCAACTACTCCAAGTCTTGAATTCCCCTGTTCTGATGGAGTGGATATGCTTAGGCTGCTGA